GTAGTAGTAGTAGTAGTAGTAGTAGTAGTAGTTGTTGTAGTTGTAGTTGTAGTTGTAGTTGTAGTTGTTGCTGTTGCTGTTGCTGTTGCTGTTGCTGTTGCTGTTGCTGTTGTTGTTGTTGTTGTTAAAGAGTAGCAGGAGTAGCAGCAGCAGCAGCAGCAGCAGCAGCAGTAGTAGCGGCCGTAGTGGTAGTGGTGGTGGTAGCGGTGGTGGTGGTGGTGGTGGTGGTGGTGGTGGTGGTGGTGGTGGTGGTGGCGGTGGTGGCGGTGGTGCTGGTTGTCGTCGTCGGAGTGGACAGACCAAGCTCAAGATACTCCTGAAAGATTCGTGCCTGCACGCTGCGGCGACGCAACCTGGAGGGCACGCCGGGGATACGCACACTGGTTTGTTTTCGTCTAAGCTGGCTGTCGATGCACTGCAGGGAGACTCACACGAACTATCCGGGTCGGAAGACGGCAAGCTCTGGACCCTCAGAGAGACTATACCATGCTACGTAACAGTGAATAACAGCAGCAAGTAACAAGGCCAACTGCCAACAATTGTCATCACCATACATAGAGAGGCTACACAAAAGGCATTCGATCCGCAGATGCGGCCGCGGTCCCTCAAGAAGACCAACAACCATGAACAAACTCCTGAGATAAATAAGATGAGTTGAGCAAGTGGTCATCACTTCCTTGGGTTTGTGGTCCCAGACTTTACAACTGTCAGACGAGGTTTGAGTTTACACTCTCCTTCGTGCTGTGCCAGATGAGGTCAGATGAGGTTCTTGTTCGGAAGTACTGTCGGCATCAAACACTCCAGCCAGTCTCTCTAGCCCCCTAAACCCTAAACCCTCCAATGTATAGCCTCATTGCTCTGGGCGCCAAATCTCATCCAAACCCACAAACCGAGAGACCCGCTAGACTTTGCCTCTGCAAGACGTACGGAACTCTGTTCTCATATAACTCAAAGGTTCAGGGGAGCAGACGCGCAGAAACGCGACGCTAGACCAAGAAGGTATGAGGACTGCGCGCTCGCAAGTCACAAAAAACAGCGATCGAAATGAACTTCCAAAGTCAAGCGGCAGCCAACCCTGCAAGATGCAGATGCCAAGAAAGGTCCACTGGCATGAGGTGCGAAGCACCCTAAGACGCGTTCAGCAAGCAACGGACGCAGTGGACCACACGTCAAAACCACAGCCCGGAGGCAGATAGTGGCTTTGCTTAGCCCGTTTTCGCAAGACAGTGTTGGCATGCAAGGCTGGAACGTTTCCAAGATCCGAGCCTGTATCTTCATATGCTCTGTGTGACGCCAGAAACCCCTCAGATAGGCCTTCTTTACCACTGCCAGCCGTGTTGTTGCGCTGACTGGGTTCGCACGATTTAAAGATTCGAGCGTCAAGGAAAGCAGCTCAGCTAAAGTCGCGCTTCATGTCATGACAGCCTTTCGGATTGTCGTTAGTCGCTCCACCCGACCAGTAACGACTATGTCCACCTCGGAATAGGAGGAATGTTAACTGTCCACAGCCCTAAGCCGTAAAGAAACTCAGACCGAATATAGGGCCAAAATCCACAGAACAGGGATATGTGATACGATGGAACCCCAGAGGAAAATAAAGGCAACTATTCCGACCTCTTTTTTTGTAAGCATAGCAGCCCAGGGTCGCTTCCGATCACGAGCATATACATATATATATATATAGATGCTTCGGAGTGAATGTAGGGGCCTTAATAGTTAGAATAGAGTGTTGGAGTATTTTTACTGTAACTATGAAAAGGAAGCCCCAAAATAGCATAGGTAATTTTTTAGGCCCCTCTAGTATGTAAAAACCCGGGTCGGAAAGATACACTCTTACAAGCCCTAAACCCTAGCCCGTTCCCCCTAAACCCGAGCCCTGTGAGGAAACCCTGAAACCCTAAACCCTGAAACCCTGAAACCCTAAACCCTGAAACTCTGAAACCCTAAACCCGAGCCCTTTGACTAAACCCTAAGCCCTAAACCCTGAACCCTAAACCCGAGCCCTTTGACTAAACCCTGAAACTTTTCTGGGGGTTTCCGAAAATAGGGGACCCTAATATAGTACTGTAAATAGTAGGATCCCTATTATAAGGACCCCAAAACAAGGTACCCCTTATTTTCGGAAAGTCCCTTCTCGAGCCCGCCTGGAGGATGCGGCGCGGACTGAGAGGCGAGAAACCCGGAACAGACCTCTGAGAAATCGGGATTCAGGGTTTAGGGTTTTTGGGTTTAGGATTCAGGGTTTAGGGTTTTTGGGTTTAGGATTCAGGGTTTAGGGTTTTGGGATTTAGGATTCAGGGTTTAGGGTTTAGGATTCAGGGTTTAGGGTTTTTCCCTCTAGGGTTCAGGGTTTAGGGTCTGATGCAATGCCTCGGGGTTCTGGATTCTAGAGGTTCGGGGTTTGGGGCTCTGTGGTTCTAGCGTTGTTGCGTGGCTGTGGGGCTTAAGTTGTTAGTGAAGGGCGCCTTCACGATTGAGGGTGCAGAGGGTCCTCTAATGTTGCTGCCAAATGCCTGAGACCTGAGACACAAGCTGCGCGGTCGAGAGCGGTCCTAACCCTGATCCTTTTCCAGCTGACTGCACGGGCCAGTCGGGTGCTGGCCTCCTCGAGGATTGGCATTCGTCAGTTGCAGAGCGTGCACTGGAGTTGGCAACAACCGACTTCTTGCAGACCCAGAGGTGGTTTAGGTTACGTGCTAAGTTATGTGCAAATATATGTATATATATATATATATGTATCTGTATATACACATACACATCATGTATATGTGTGTATACAATGCTAACGTAATCAGCTAACGTAATCTAGAGATAGAGTTTAAGTTTAAGGAGATGTGCCTAACGTTTCTCGATGACACCTCAGGTTGAAAACATCAACCACTTTGGGCCGTACACCTCGACCGGCTTTCGTTTCTCCGAAATCGGGAGGGGTGAAGGATGCTGCCAAGTACGCTTTTCGACTCGATCGCACCATGTCATGCTAGGGCGACTCTTTTCGAAGGGTCGAGGGAAAAGCACGGCTACGCTTGAGTTGGCGGTTCTCATTTTAACCAAACCTAAGCTTAATTCTACCACGGAGCAGTCCTGTCTAGACCAAATCTAACTATGAGTGATCAATCGAATGTAGAACCTGACTGGTAAGCCCCCGTTTTCAGCACTCACAACTGTGACAAGCCAGGGGCCCTCAAGTTAGCATCCTCCTATCATCCCTTTTTAAGGTAGGTGGTTTATTAATCAGGCGGTCTTTTCGTCAGCCGAAAGAAACTCCCGGGAACAAAGCCCGAGGAAAGGAGGAGATCCTCATCGTCGAGGGGCAGCACCTGCACACTCTTGGCCTCATGACTGAAGCAATGAGTTACAGTCTGCTATATTTTTACCAAACCATTATAAGTCATAATCATATAGCAACTATTCCGACGACCCCTATCTATCTATATCTCTATACACACACACACATATACACACACATATATATATATATATATATATGTATATTTTTAAGTATCTAAGGGACTCGGCGCTCACACTCGGACTGATAGGTCGAGTGAGTCTATTGAGTCACGAAGGGCAGATCGGCAGGTAGACAGAACCCACATGGGTTCAGGGTTCAGCGTCACCTGTGACCCGGCACCCTCAAAACTACGAATGAATGGTGGGTGTGGTGCTGCTGGTGGTGGTGGTGGTGGTGATGGTGATGGTGGGGGGGCGGCGGTGTGATTGTTGTGGTGCTAATGAGTCTGTAAAGTGACAGCGCATGTACTTAGAGGCAGCAGCAAGTTTTCGAAGTATTGGTGCGCCAGCGTCAGTAGAATAAGGTGGAGCAGCCTTAAAGAGGCACCGAAAGCTTTTGAACCCGGTGCAGCAGAAACAACCAAATTATGCAAGCTTCGAAAAACGCCCGTGTAACCACCGGTCCTAAATCATACTTCTATATCGAATTACATAATCCGTCGGCTCAGGGCTCTGAAGTTGGACATGTTTGGGACGTGGGGTTGCCGGACGGAAACGGCAGGTGATGAACGTGGTGCACCCAAAGAGCCCAATACCCCTGAATTATAAGGAATATACCTCAAATCATACTATCAAGCCTCTTATAATATAAGGTATATTCCTCAATTAAGGGGTATTAGGCTCTCTGGGCATGAGTGAGTTTCCAGCACGACTATCGGTCTATCTTTCACCGACCGGAGGCCCCCCATCGCAGAGTTGGGAGCACGCATGCATGCGGGACTTGACCCAAAGGTGACTGTCTCGTGGGATTCCCCGCTTTTGAACTCCACATTCCTGGCCGAAACAGAAGGCATGTGGCTGCCTTCTGGAAAACCGGAAACCCTGAGACGCTACCATCACCCCCACGCTTGGCCTCCAGCGGCAAGAGAAGGCTAAGCCGTGCCAGGGATACGTCCCAGCCGAGATCATCACAAAGCTGGTCCTGGTTTGGATGTAAAGTGTGGACTAAGTCTTACTTCCCGAATAAGCCGAGGAAATAAAAGGTTAAGCTTTCAGATTACTACTAAATTATAAGAACCAAAAAATTTAAAGGTTGGGTATTGGGGAACTAAGAATTATGGCCTGCTTCTGCAAGACCTCCTTGGGCACCACATGGTGGAGGGATCGTCTCGTGTAGCAAACGATGCCAGGTGTCAAGAACCGAGTTGCGTTTGGGCCGTTGTGTCTTTGATTGCTTTGCCCGGGGGTTGAAGTGCTGGCAGTCCCAGCACATCGGCGGTAAAGGAACTGCGTGCACTGCTGTGCAAGGCCAAGGGGCAAGGAACTGCGTGCACCGTGTTAAACAGCAGCCAGGGGAAAACATGCCCCGAATTAATGGCCCTGGCAATTTTATGTCACTCCTGTGCACACCTCGTGTGTCGTGAACGGCAGGTCGCGAACATCTATCTCAGAAAGCAAACCCCTGCTCACCTTGCTCGCCCATTTTGGCGAATATAGGGGTCGTTATACTTAGAGTAGGGTTTGGGTTGATATACTATTATAGAAATTAAGCTAGCTCTAAGGAGCCCGATGGAATAACATTGGTAACTATTCCTAGTGCCTGGTGCAGGCACCACGAAGGAGTGTTTGGCACGGGGCAGTTCCTTCAACCAGCATCGCTAAGCCAAAGCCTGATCCTATGTGATGCCTCTCGAAGTCTGGTTTGGGAATTCAGGGCTCGCAAAAGGGGTTTCCGAAAATAGGGGACCCTAATATAGTACCCTAAATAATAGGATCCCTATTATAAGGACCCCAAAATAAGGTACCCATTATTTTCGGAAACTCCCATATCCTTGATCATGGCCACGGTGGTCGATGTCGAGACGGACATGAGAAGTGTCTCCTGCAAGTCCGGAACGGGGCAGGCTCCGACAGTTCCCTTCAGGGTATAGGTTTTGAGGGGTTTAAAATGTCCAGGGTTTTAGTCAGGCTCAGGATTTATATAGGATTTACGGTTTAGGAGATCACGCCTGGAATGAGTCAGCTGTCCTGGCGTGACCTTGCAAGCCAGTTGCAAAAAGGAGATCACCCTAAACCCCCAAACCCCTAAACCCATAAACCCTAAACCCTACAGCCTAAACCCCTAAACCCTAAACCCCTAAACCTGCAGCACGGTCAACAAGGGCATGCTAGGAAGCTTGGCGGGCTCTTCTAGCAAGCAGCGCCTAGGTCCAAGAGCCCAAGATATGTGGGTAGTTGTCAAAACTATGGTCCCTTTTGGGGTACCCTAAATAATAGGTGCCGTATTATAATAAGGACTAAAAAGGACCATAATTTTGACAACCACCCATGTATTGACCGTGGTTCCCCGATCTCGGAATCAGGGGGTTTCCAGACCCTTTTGCAACAGGCTTTCCACTTCGCCCGCAGTTGGGGCAAGCAGCCAAACCCTAAACCCCTAAACCCTAAGATTTGGATTTGGCTGCAAGCTCGTCCACGGACCCACTCCTGGCCGCACTGCACTGCAACATCCACGGCCTTGCCCTTCACAGCCGTGACGACCTCCGCAGCTGATCTGCTGCAGGTTGGGATATGGGGTTTCCGAAATAGGGGACCCTAACATAGCACCCTAAATAGTAGGATCCTTATTATCAAGACCTTAAAATAAGGCACCCCCTATTTTCGGAAACTCCCAATATTGAGATGTACGGACAGCTTCGAATTCGACTCTCACGGCTCGGACCTGATGCTAAGTGGCTATTTGCCGACGGTAAAAAGGGTGGCAATCCGATCACCTCAAAGAAATAATATGGCCAACTGCCGACAATTGCCCCGAAGAAATAAACCGCAGCAATAATGCACTAGAGGACAGTGTAGTATACTAAAGTATTAGGTAATCTGACAAATATAGTATAACTTAGTACAATGTTGTACTATGTCGTATTATCGCACGGTATGGTAAACATAATGTAAAGAAGCACACTTCGCAGAAAAATTCACTAGACCTCCTTCTACTCTCAGCAGGGCGGCTAGAGGCTCGCCGGAGTAGGTGCAATAGCTGCGAAGCGGTTGCCTCCCGGCCACAGGATCAACAGATTGGATTCGGACATAATAGGTATCTTGTCTCCACTCTTACGGTTTCACACTCCCGACCGATTCGAATCTTCCAATCTTCATGGACGTCACAGAAAACTCATAATGTGAAGAAATTGAAAAAACCGGAAGAGATTGGAACTTCTCGGAAAGTTGGAGCTTCCAGGAGCTGGCCTTGTACTGGTAAGTTAGAGGATTCCTTATTTTTTTCCTTGAAGGATTGTGTGCGGGATCTATAAGACGTGAGTTGAGGGAGCGGTTCTCATGTCTAGTCTAGCTTATTCCCAGGCGGGTCCTCGAAAGCAAAGACCGCTACTTACAGCTTTACGGGTCCAGGGCTTAGGGATTGTAGGAACTTCTGGTTTTGGAGATCTCCACTTCTTTTCGATGCGGGATTCTACTTGAACGGAAGTCGTTTGCTAAATCTTAGGCCCATACTCCGGTGGCCCCGAACCTCAACCCCCCAGAACTCATGGCCTGTCATCCAAGATCGACCGGCCGGTTAGAAGCTTCCTGGGATAGTGGTCGAGGAAAGGCACATATGTCTGCAATGGTAGAATCCAGTACGTACGCAGATCTAGATAAAGGTACCGGGCGAACGGGTGGATAGATGAATCTTTTACACATACGTGTTGCAAACATGCTGATGCACATGTAGGTGGACACATCCTACCATCTGCCTCGCACGTGTGTGTGTGTGTGTCTGTCTGTCTGTGTGTGCGTGTGTAAAGATGCATGAAAACCTGTATACACACATAAATACAACCATATAAACATTCAAACACTTTCGGAAGCTTGTCAGCACGTCTGTCCTGCTTCGCCAGTCTGGCAAACTTCCACTACTGCAGGCTTGGCTGTGGGAATACCACATAGGGCATCCGATGCTGCGAGGAAGACCAGCAAAGGTATAGCAGCTAGAGCCCGTGGTTCCCCACCGTCTCTCTGTGATCCTCCTGTCTGACTGTCTGCTGCATCCCAGCTTCATTTCGGGATCCTCGTAGGCGCCCTGGCCAGTTCTGCAACCATAAACCGCAAAACTCCCATGCCATCTGTAGGATCTGAGATGCACGTTTGGGGTTGCCAAGCTACCGGATGGGGAGTGAAAGCTCAATATGGGATGGCGACCGTAACGAAAAAGATTTTAGTTCTCTTCTTCTTCTTCTTCTGCGGGGCATAGGGGCAGGTCAATGCCCCCGGGCGCCAGGCCCACCCAATATGTTATTGGGCGCAGGGGTGTGAGGAAAGAATGTAGATTGTAGTTCTCTCTCTCTCTCTCTCTCTCTCTCTCTCGCTCTTGCGTCCAGATAGTCTAGCAGCGCCAGGCAACGCATGAGGCTCAGCCGTTCAGGCCACTCCAGTGCCGTTCTGTTCTATGAGGTGATATCCTGTAATGTTAGCGTTCGCACTCGAGTGTATATACATGTGTGTATCTGCAGTTCAAAATATTTAATAGTATATCATATTGACGTTTGTCATGATGTAGTAGGTTATGTTTGAAACGGAGAAATCCCTGAATGACCTAGCTTTCAGCAGCCACGACGACTTTTGTGCTGGATCTGCGGCACCTATTACGCACTTCCGAGCGAGAACTCCGCCGCCTCTTTGGGGCGCTGCCATCGCTGAATCTCATCCCGCAGGGCGCGGACGTTGGCGTTCAAGGGGAGCCGGGTGGTGCCCACCTTCACGGTAAAATTAGAGCCTAAAGATTTCTAGCTATTTCTAGGAGTAACAACTCGGAAAATTTGGATTGGGGGCTTTAGGAGATGGAGTACGCCAAGAGAACAGAACTTTCCGGAGGATCTTCAGAGCTCTGTTCAGAGATCTACGGTGCTCCAGGTTTCAGCACTCACGGCAAGACATCTCGGCGCAGTAGCCGAACTCCAAAGTTGTTTTTATGCTTTTATCCCGTTGATTTCGACTCTCACTCTCGCACGCACCTTGCCAGAGGTTTCAGGTTTAGGGTTTAGGTGGGTGGTTGAATCGAGGTTCGTGATGCAAGGCGACGTGCATCTGGAGTCTGCCATGCAGCTACTTCAAGCAGAGGTAAGAGAGTACCTGCGTTCCCTCGCAATTCAGTACCGACCACAACATAGCGTGCACTTCCCGACAATAAGCTCAACAAGCCCAGAACAAAGGCCCAGAAGCGCAAGGGTTCGCAGTCTCGCAAGAGCCTTCGTCCCGGCAAGTGTTCGCACTTCCACGACCTCGCCACCAAATAGGCTTTGTTATAACCTTTCCTGTCAAATTGCCCACAGCCCAACGGCCTCTATAAACCCGTATAACACCCTGAGACAGCCATATAAAGCCCTTGAACATTGCCATATAAAACAAACCCTATGATACCCTTATCAAAACCGACTAAGGCCCGTATGAGCCATGTGGGCCGAAACCTGTTGGCCAACCTGGGCACACAAACATCTCCTAGGTATATGGGAGTTTCCGAAAATTAGGGGTACCTTCTTTTGGGGTCCTTATAATAAGGATCCCATTATTTGGGGGTACTATATTGGGGTCCCCTATTTTCGGAAACCCCCATATCATAGTTATCATTTGCTGCGCTTTGCTTGGGGTCACAGCTAGGAGAAGGCCTCCGAGCCTGTGCGTTAGCACAACCCCGTCTTGTTATCTCTCTCTCTTCTTCCACACAGCCAAAGGAGCACGGAGACCTATTATCATTCTCTCTCTCTCTCTGCCGTTGCATGATACTTATTATGTTTACTTTGGTTGTTCGTGCTATTATAGTTTTTGTTACTGTTATACTATGGCTGTAGCTACATAGGGACTGTAGGGGATAGTATGGGTGATCGTTGAAAGTCGACCCAAACTTCACAAGATGGCTTTTGACAAGACGTCAACTCCAAGCACTCACTTGCAGCTGCGTTCGAGGGATAACGGCTAATGCGATGCAAGGGGGAGGTCAATGCAGTTTGAGATCCCAAATTTACACCGCCGAGCAGGCAGGATGGAGAGCTCTGAGCTCAGCTTCGACAAAGCTTGCGCCCTTCACCCTTGACCCGGCCGCTATTCGAAACGGAACACTTGGTGAAAGCCAAAACCATGAGCGAGTAAGTCTAGCCGGTCCAGGTTCGGGGGTTGGTTCTGCAGCTAAAGGACCATCTCCTCCTCAGCAGCTGTCGACATGTCATGCGGGCAAGCGGGCTCGTCTGACGCACTGTCGCTTGGCCACGCTAGGGCTTGTCAATCAAGGATACGTGGCTATAGCCACGATCAAAAGCCATCACTACCTTCACTACCCTACAGGCATCCTGCGCTTCCAACCAGGACAATCAATAACTTCAATCTAAACTTGTCCGACTGCTGTTTTGTGGCAGTGCAGAAAATTCTTGGTTTGATGTATCGTGAGCCGATGGTCTGCCAGAAAGTTGTGCGCTTGCTACATGTCGCTGATCGCAACCAAGGTCGAATCTATCACTGCGGTTGAAGCTGTCAGGGCTGCGCATTGCCAGTGTGCAAGCTTGAAGAGCCGAAAGCTCGATCACGACATAATATATATGTACGTTTCAACCTATGGACGCAACAGTGGACAAGAGAGCATGGAATCAAAAGCAAGGCCTCCATTCTTGCCTGAATAGAACCAGCGTGCACCCTTTAGAGCCTTTCCCGTGTGAGAGCAGGCCCTAACCCAACACAACTGTGGGCCACACCCGGTACTTTGTGAAGGCACTTCTGTGTACTTCGACCTCAGCCATATGGCTCGTGTAAGCAAATTCAGAACGAGAGATTTTCGTAGATCAGATGCAGCAGCCAGCGCGAGGACAAGGGCATTGTGAATTTAGGTTGCAAGTCGCCTTGCTCTGCAACAAGTGAGTTTGATTAATTTTGCCATGCTGATGCTACTTCCAGAAGACGATTTTATCAGCTTCCCTTGACTGGTCACGGCTTCCCGAACGTGTGAGGCAGCCCTGCAGTCCCTCGTCTGAGATGCGCGCGGGATGGCAGGAACGACCGTTGCCTGCTGCACGGAATCTGACGGAGCCAGACCAGCAGACTCACAGCAGGATTGGGCGAAAGTTGATTCTGTCCACAAACTTGCCCACGTACTCGCAGGTATGCAAACGGCATTAGTCTGACTTGTTGCCTGATGATCGGAGTTCGACATGCCGGCTACTAAGTGGCTACTATAGAAACCGGGAAACGGACATGAGCCGCGTGCCTAACTATATGAGTACTTGGCACCAGGCGGCATCTATCCCGACATCAAAAGCTTAAACCCTGATCTGATGCGCAGCTTACAGGATTCCGTCGAGCAATGTCTCGGGGGTTCACGCATATTCCAGCTCGAGAACAGGCGCTTAAGTCCTGATGCCGACACGCCGTCAGACTGCTGGCCTCTCGCACCTCCTCTCCGGTGAAGCCGGAATGCATACCTTGAGGGGAAAAGCTGAAGGGAACTTCCTAATGTCGGCGTGCACGAAGGGCAAAGCTGTACTGGGAACACCGCGTGGAAAATGGGCTATCCTTTCGGCAACCCCAACATTAGCTTTAGCTGGGGATTTGCTGTTTCGAGTCTGCGAATCGCAACTAAAGGAAACTTATCAGAGAGAGCACCAGGACTGCAACATTTTTACTAGGATCAGTACTATCATCAGACTTGAGAGATTAAGAATGAGAACTGATTAGGTATGTGTGGCGGGAGGGAGCAAGACAAGAAATTGCTGGTACTATCAGCAGTACAGCATTACGAGTACTAGCCTCGGAGGAGGAGAAGGACGAGGAGGAGGAGCAGGACGACGAGGGTACTATGACTGCCCGCAGGGATTGGTAAACCCCAAGTCCAAACCCCTTTACACCGGCTTGATTGGAGCTCGCCCGGCCAGGTTCCCAACCCTAAACCCTGAAACTTACATGTGGTTGGCTGGCCTGTGGGCCTTCGCGGGTGCCTTGTCCCTTCTTGGTGTCCAACCCGCTACCTAATCCTTAAACAAGGCCACGCACATCTGGCAGCATCTATCATGCAGCTTGATGTTGCAGGACAGACACCGACAAGTCACGCTCCACTTTGCAATGCCTGTTGATAGAGGTTGCTGTGAAGCCTGCTGCGGACACAACAACTGCCCCTCCCAGTCCTGCTCGAAAACACGCTTTTCAGCTAGACGCGCTTGCTGCACAAAGGACAGGTTCTACTCTGCTGTGTGAGCCATCGGTCCACGCAGTCGCAGTGAAAGCGGTGCCCGCATTTCAGTACCCGGAGCTCGTCTCCTGAGCTTGGCAGCAGCTTCAGAATTCAGCTTTGCGTGGGGATCCGCAGCCCTCTGGAGAAGAACACGGTACTGTACCTGCTGCACGGCTGTGGCGAGAGATGACTAAGGTCCAGTCCACTCTCGTAGTTTGCCAGGCACACCTGACAGGGACACGACAGTCTGCATCTCAATTCGAGGCATTCGAGCACCTTGACAAAACGCTTTGTGGCCAATCAGCTGCTGCTATTGTTGCTCCTGCTGCGATACCCATATTCTCTGTTTGCAAACCTTTAGCTATGAATATGCTTTGATCGGCATGGTTGCTGCAACAAGGGCTGTTCTGGGAAGGAGGGCGATGTTTGCTAACGAGTTGCTATCGATTTCGCACCGGTGTCTCATATATACATGTGACTCCCTTTGACTAGGACTCGGAGCTGACAGGAATCCGCTGAAGAGTATGGGACGTTTCGGCGGCTGTGGCTTTTCCGGGAAAAATCGTGACCAGGAACACGATCCAGAGTGGACCTCGTAGAAACCGGCGACGCTCTAGCGCTATGTGGCTTTGGCGGATGATGTCATGGGCTGCTGGAGCAGCTTCCTCTTCTGCCTTAAGCTCCTTCGGCCGAAATCCAAGCTTGAATCCCGGAACGATACGAACTTCTTGTAAATGAGTGCTCGAATGAAGCCTTGCAGACCCCCCTAAACCCTAAACCCTACACCCTAAACCCTAAATCCGACTCCCTTTGCCAAAGCAATGCCCAGGTGCGGCGCAGCTGATCCCGGAGTCACCTGGCAGGACCAGAGTTCCAATCACACCACTTTGAGGTTTAGGGTTTCAGGTTTAGGGTTTAGGGTTCAGGGTTCAGGGTTTAGGGTCTAGGGTTTTAGGGGGGTTTAGGGTTTAGGGTTTAGAGTTTAGGGTTCCCGAGGGCTTCTGGAACCTAGAGAACATATTCGGAATCATTATGATGTGACACAGGAATACCTGTGCTCATGGAGCTACAACTGACTAGGCTACTAGGACGCTATGAAATACGAAAAGAAGCTGGGTTCCTGCAGCTCCAAGTACTGGCTGGCACACACCTTCCCGCCCCCCGAAACCCTAAACCCTTTTGAAGCCAGACTCTTCGGATCACCTGGGAAGCAGCACTGCATGACATCGACCTCGACTCCATAGGTAAACCCAAGACTGTGCAAGGTAACGCGGGGGCCTTGAAGGGTTTGGGGAATATTATACTACAACTTTATCGGGGCTATCTTTCCCCTTGCATTTAGGTTTCTCATCCTCACCGCACTCTCTGCCGGTGGGTCCTTTGTGCCGCCCTTGGAAAGGACTTCTGACAAACTCGGTACAAGTGCCGGGGTCCACCTTCCTGGATTCTCGCCGCTGTGCACAAAGGATGTTTTAGTGCATGCCTGGATATTCTCAGGCCACTGAACTCCAATCCCATTTGGAAAGATGCAAAACAAGCATCTAAGTTTCTCTCCGAAATCCCCGCTCAAGCCGCGACATCAGGAGCTCTAGATTCCAACCCCCGCGCCCGATCGGACCAACGGCCCAACGCCCTGAAGCGCAAACCCCAAGCTCCACACCCTAAACCCATTTCCCTACATTCAAAACCCTATATCCTCAACCCGACCCCTTTTTTGAGCAGGGACTGCAATGCACTAAGCCCTGAAACCCGACCCCCTAAACCCGTAATCCTCTGAACCCCCAAACCCTAAACCCTAAACCCCAAACCCTAAACCCTTTTAAAGCCCTAAATCGAGCCTCCTCTGGCTTTCAGAACCTGCAGCGCCAAGACCCGAACAAGCTCAAGACCGAGCAACATCACGAATCTCAGCCTTGTTGCTAGTTCTAGTATGAATAAAACCATAGCTTTCAGTTCTTGCTCTTATGTGAGTCTTATTGCTATTTCTAGTATGGATAAAACCATAGCTTTCATGTGTTGCTCTTATGTGTTTTCTGTTGCTCTCACTATGATTACTATTGCTATTAGACTATTACTATTCTGACAATGCTGGAGCTGGCAAGGGCAGTCTCCAAACCGCGAACCCACACGACCACACTCATGTTACAAATGCAATTTGTTTAGGGTTTAGGCTGTATCGAAATCCTGAAGGGGACAGTGGCAAACGGCATCACAACATCGTGGCTGCCACCAAAAGCCAAGGAACAGCTTGAACTAGCTCAGCTTTCTCGATGCCCACACCGCTTCTTAGCAGCAGCTGTATTTCCTTGGCATTCAAGAGCATAGTTCTCTGGCATAAAACAATTCCGGCTTCAGCGCCGGGCCTCTCTGCTGCCTACTCTGAAAGAACTGACGCACTAAAACACTTGTCCAGGCGTCTCTGGTCTGGCTGCCGCCTGCAAATCCCAGATTCATGTCCTTAGCTTTGTCATCGCATGGCTCCAAATACCGCCCAGTGCGGCAGAGGAGAAGACCATGTGCACACTGAGAAATGCACGAGCGTGCAACACACAATTACGTCGTCTAAAGTCTATGCACGCACCATCCGGCATGCACGTGAATGTGCGTGTTCATCCATCTACCTATCAGTATGTGTACATATGTATATGTATCTGTATATGTATATGTATGTGTATATATGTATATATACACATTTGCACATACATACATACATACATACATACATACATACTTGTACAAAAGTACATACACATACATACATACATACATACATACATACATACATACATACCTACGTGCCTAGCTACCTAGCTACCTACCTACATACATACTTGTACATAAGTATATCCACATACATACATACATACATACATACATACCTACCTGCGTGCCTGCCTACCTACCTGCCCACCCACCCACCCACCCACCCACCGACCGACCGAC